CAATCTGAGGAGATCTTGTTCTGTAGGGGGCATCCTTCACGAATGTACAAGGTATTTGGTTCTATGTCTGTCAACCGCACACTTCACAGAGAGAGCTCCCATTGGTGAGGAAGGCCCTCTTTAAGTCACCTCTGTTCTGGGTGCACTTCACCGCACATCACCTCCAGAGCTAAAGTCAGATGCTGTGCATTAATTCATGATGGAGAGGGCTTAAAATGCTGTAGGGATCAATTCCCTCCCCATGACAGCATCCACTTACAACAACTCACTTCTTACCTCCCCTTAAAAGACAACTGTCTGCCGTAGTTATGTAACCGAGAATTTCCATTTCAGGTTTTGAGAAAGTTTTCAGTCCTTTTCTCTCTTAGTTTATGCTTTAAAGATTTATTTTTCCTTTTGAATCTAATTGTGTACTGGCTTGAGAGATTACAGAGGCTATACTTGTGATAGCAGAGCCTGGAGACCCCACAGAAGAATTCTCCACTGCTCCCAATTAGGACTCTATCAGCCAGCCGCCCAGATGGACAACGACTTGAGATAACTGTCGAAGCAAGTCTCCAGGTAGACGACATTCAAGATAACCATCGAAGCCAGATCAGCTCCCTGTACCGCTCCCAAATATTCCTCATTCCTTTCTTTCCTTGAAATTTTATTCTTAGCCTAAAATTTTGAATTGGTTCCTTTGAGACGTGAGACTGGCCATTTCCTCACCTACCGGCTTTTGGAATAAAGTCCCCTTCCTCGTACTACATCTCAAGCTTGTTCACTTTGGCCTGCAAATGACAAGTATCAGAACTTGCAATTTATAACAGTTAAGCTCATCTCCTAACCCTAGTTTTCTCTTCTCTGCTCAAACCCACTGAGACTCCACTTGAAGGAAGTACTCACAGTGTGAGAATTTATAGCGTAGACCCAGAGAAACCAACAAGCTCTGTGCTCTGGTGGACAGGTCTCTAGGTGTCACCTCACTTCTCTGTGACCTCAGTATCCCCTGACTCACTACTGTATGCCCCTAGGAATCTGAGTCATTCTGTGGAGGAGCCTCTCTTCAAAGCATTCCAGCCTAGGAGGAAATTCAGAGTGGGCGACAGTCTCGGTCCTTAGGCACTCCTAGTCCCAGTGAAGGTCCAGGGACCTAGAAAGGGGAAAAGATCATAGAGGCCATAGAAAAGAGTAAAAGACACGGCACCATCCGCACAATTTGAACTAAGATTTCTGTCTTGAACTGCCGCATATGAACATCCCATGCACCCATTCCTTGTGTTATTCCACGCTTTTTTAGAAATAAATAATGGCACTTCGAACCTTGATTTTGAAATGTTTTGTCAGAGTTCTGAGGAGATTCTATTTTTCCAGTATAGACAACACAGAATGAATCACGATAGGAAAAGTTACAAGATGCTTCTAAAGGAGACCTGCAATAGCAGCATTTTGCCACCAGAGGACAGCGTAGGCTTTCTGGAGAATCTGGGGAGAGAAAAGGGTGGGACCTTCTGGGGGAGAGAACCCACAGTAAAATGCAAATTTCAGATGTAATTTTACTTGCTAAAGTTAGAGCAAAAAACTAAGCCCCGCACGAGAGTCCCGCCTTTCATTCTGCTCTGTGAGCTCCTACTGATCGGAACTGACAACTGGTGAATTCTGGAGTCGGTTTCAGGAGGATCCCCTTGGCATCAGGTTGAGGGTTGGGGAGGTCTGGGGAGGGTGGAGGGAGAGCCTTGAAGGGTGTAGGGGAGAGAAGATGTGCCCTCTAGCTTCTGAGTGTTCGATCATTGAGTCTATGAAATAAACAAACAGCAGGCAGATTATACGCGCAAAGGCACACAAATTGATACCCTGCTCACAGGCGTTGCGGAAAGGAAAAGGGAACACGCTCCAACCAGTGAGACTGAGGGGCGCTTCACAGGGGGAGAAGAGAGAGGGGCTGCCGGCAACTTTTGGGGGGCGAGATGACTGGGCCTCAGAAGAGCAGATAATAGTTTGTGACAAAGTGTGTCTGGGTGGAGTGTCTTTCTCGCCCCCTCTCCTAGGACAGGAGTTCACCTTCCAAGTTGATGAAATTCCCTGGAAAGGGATTGCGGATGTGCTTTAGGTACATCAGGAGAGCTCAGGGAAAGCCTCTGCTGGCATTTGCTGTCCTTCAAGAGTCTTCAGCTCAAAGTGATCAGTACACCAAAGCAACGTATTATGGGGTAGCACTTCCTGAGCGCCTTCGAGGGGCTCCGGGCCGTGGCTGTTGACCAACCGGGTCAAAAGCGTGTTGATACTTGAGTCCCGTGTGTGGCGTTCACGTAGCCTCCTGGCGGACAGCGGCCCCCTCCGGCAGCGGTGGGGATTCTGGGAAAGGGACCGGGCCTCGGGAGGCTGAAGGGGCGCCAGGGCGCAGCCACTTCCGGCTGGTCGCCGGTGCGCGAGGCGGAGAGCCCGAGGTCTCGGCCCGGCTCCCCGAACCGCTCATTCCGGGAGGGGAGGAGAGGGACGCCAGACCGTCGAACTTGACTTCTCATCACCCCAGCGCCGCGGCCAGGGCTCCGGTGGCTCAACCAGCGTCCCACAAAGGTACTCGGGCAGCTCGGAGGTCTTCCTCTTGGAGAGGAGCGGGCAGCTGGGGCCGGCGACTTCCTCCCCCGCCTTAGTTTCGTTTTCTGTGAAAACGTGGAGCTCCGCGGCCAACCCGCCCCGGGGTGTGGCTGAATCTAGAGGGGAGGGGAGAACTCCAGAAAGCTTGCTTTGCGCCCAGGCCCGGCGTTTCGGAGGCCGCTGCTCTGCAGACGCTTGCAACCAGCAGGGATAGAGAGCTCGGCTGTGGCTCTGAGACATCTGTCTTGTGTGGGGCATTCGTTCCCTGCAAAACCTCGCCCTCCACCAAGCTGAACCCCCCTCCCCAATTTACTCTTGGGTCCCCGCTTGTGCTCAGCTCGTTGTCCTGGCCCTCCAGAGAGCGCTTAGTTGGAATAAGGAACACAAAGCTCCAAATTCAAATAGCACGAACCCCCACTGTTATTTTAATTGTCAATTGTGGTAAAGTATACAGCATGTTTATCATTAAAACTATATTTTATCACTTGTCCCTGTCACTTTATCTCTTAATCATGTGTAAGTGTCCAACTCAGTGGTATTAAATGCATTCACTATGTTGTGCCCCGAGCACCACTATTTCCAAAACCTTTTAGTCGTTCCCAGCATACACTTTCTACTCATTAAGCAAATAACATTCCACTCCTGCCCCCTCTCGCATCCTCGCATTCTCTTGTTTCCATACATTTACCTGTTTAACGTCCCATCACGTGAGTGGAGTGGTACCTTTGTCCTATGTCTGGTTTATTTCACCCGGCCCAAAGTTTTCAAGGCCATCATGTTTAGCAAGTATCAACATTTTATTGCCTTCTATAGCTGGATAATATGCCACTGTACATGCCATTGAATGCTACTGTCCATATTGGTCTACACCTGTTTAAGACTGCTTTCACTTTTTTCTGGATATATTGTGTTCCTAAGAGTGGAATTGCTGGGTCCTGTGGTGGTTCATATTCAACTTTTTGAGGAGCTGCCAAGCTGTATTTCAGAACAGCTGTACCATTTTACATTCTCACTGGCAGGGCACTAGGTTTCCAGTTTCTCCACAAATTCTCCGACACTTGCTATTTTGTTTCTGCTCTAAGAAAATATTATAGTCATTCAGGTGTGAAGTGATATCCCATTTTGGCTTTGATTTCTATTTCTTGAATGCATCTTTTCATGTGCTTATTGGCCACTTGTATTTTTTCTTTGGAGACATGTCTATTCAAGGTCCTTGCCTATTCTTGAAGTCAATGATGTGTGTATTTTTGATGTTGTGTTGTAGGACTTCTTTATATAATCTGGATGTTAATCTCTTATCAGACATATGCTTTGCAAATCTTTTCTTCCATCCTATAGGTTGTCTTTTTGCATTCTTGATAGTATCATTTGATGCACAAAGATTCTTAATGTTGATGAAATCTAATTTTTCAGTTTTTTCTTTCATGTCTGTGCTTTTGGTATCATATTGCCAAATGCAATGTCATGAAGATTTTCCTCAATGTTTTCTTCTAAGAGTTTTATATTTTGGGACTTAAGTTTAGGTCTTTGATCTATTTTGAGTTAATTTTTGTATATGGTATAAGGTAAGGATCCAACTTCATTCATTTACATGTGGATATCTGGTTTTCCTGGCAGTATTTGTTGAAGACTGTCTTTTCCCTGTTCAAGTCTTGTCATCCTTTTTAATAAGAAATTAACTATATGTATATATTAAAATGTATTACTGAGCTCTCTATCTTATTTCCCTGGTCTATGTTAGTCCCTCTGCTGGTACCATATTGGTTTTTAAAATTAAATTAAATCTAAAATGTAAAAACTGACAATAATAATTGTATATATTAATGGGGTACATCATGCTATCTCAGTATATATAGTGATCAGACCAGGGTAATTAGTATATTAATCACCGTAGCTTTGAAGTAAGTTTTAAGGTCAGGAACTGTGAGTCCTCTAATTTTATTCTTCTTTTTTGAGATTGTTTTGGCTATTCGAAAGCCCTTGCAATTTTATATAAATTTGAGGGTTGACTTTTCCATTTCTGTGAAAAAGGCTATTGGAATTTTGATAGGGATTGTCTTGGCTCTGTAGATCACTTTGGATAGTATCTTTTAACAGTTTGAAGTCTTCCTACCCATCAACAGAACATGAGATGTCCCCACACTTATTTAAGCCTTCTTTCTTTTTTGAGAGACAAGGGCTTGCTTTATTATCCAGGCTGGCCTCTTTTTGAATTTCTCTTAGCGATGTTTTGTAGTTTTCAGTACAAGTCTTTTACCCCTTATTTAGATTTTTTTCCTAAGTATTTACTGCTTTTAGATGCTATTTGTTAGGTTAACATCTCAGTGGGACCTCCAAATTGTTAGGTTAAAAGTCAGAGAGGGAGAGAGGAGTTGCTTCCCCAATGTAGGAAACATGGTCACCTTAGCTCAAAGAGCCACATGACCACACTAGAGTTTAACAAAGCAATGACAAATGGCTGCTTGAAGTTGCTTTTAAACCTTCCCTTTGATGGGGGCGTCGTTAAGGTGATTGGGTGGTGGTCTGTTCCACCTGATCATGAAGGGGCAGGTAAACACAGGTACTGATGTCAGGTGATAGACAATAGGCAGATGGGTGGGTTAGTCCCATGATGGCTGCCATGGTAATGGGGTCTGTGTCATGAAGGTCATGAAGGACTGGCTGATTAGGTTAGCTTGAGTCTTATGGGTGGAGGCAAATACTTGAAATAGAAAAGCTAATTAGTACAGAACAAGCTGTGGAGGAGTTGTAAAACAGTTATTGATAGCTACCTCTGAGTAATCGATTTTGTCATTGGCTAGTGATAGCGGGCAAGTTAAAATGAACTGTTAGAAAAACATGACAAAGCTAAGCAATGTTCAAATGGCTGCTCATTGGGTATGTCAACTCCATCTTGGTCCTTTGACTATTGTAGATGGAATTGCTTTCTTAATTTCCTTTGTGTGTGTATGAGGGTGGGGTGTGTGTGTGTGTGTGTGTGTGTGTGTGTGTGTGTGTGTGTGTGTGTGTGTGTGTGTGTGTGTTTGATGTTGAAGCATGTCTCTGTGCCAGGGATCAACCTGAGGAGAACGCTTAAGGGCTTAGGTGTTTTCTGAGACTGCATCTTTCCCTGGGCATGGTGGTGGCTGGCTTTCTCTCTCTCTCTCTCTCTCTGTCTCTTTCCTTAACGTTGAGATATAATTGAAAAATTAAAATTGTATTTATTTATGGTATATACAATGTGATGTTTTGTATATGTATATAATGTGAAATGATTACTACATTCAAGCTAGTTAACATATCTATAACCTCGCATAGTTACCAATTTTTTTGTTTTTGTGATGAGACTACTTATCTACTCTATTAACAAATTCCAAGAATACAATATATTATTATCAACTAGAGTCACCATGCTGTATGTTAGGGCTCTGGTACTTACTTATCTTATAACTGAAAGTTTATTCCCTTTGACCAATATCTCCCCATGTTCCTCATTCCTCAGCCCTTGGTAACCACACTTCTACTCTTTGTTTCCATGAGTTCAACTTGTAGATTCCACATATAAGTGACATCATGCATTATTTACCTTTTTGTGTCTGACTTATTTCATTGAATATATGTTCTCCAAGTTCATCCATATCATCACAGATGTCAGGATTTCCTTCTTTTTAAATACTGAATAATATTCCATTCTATGTATGTGCAACGCATTTTCTTTACCCATTCATCTACTGATGTACACCAGGTTGTTTCCATATGTTGGCTCCTAGTGAAAAATAATGTTGTAATGAACATGGGAGTACAGATATCTCTCTGAGATAGTGATTTTTGTTTCCTTTGGTTATATCCCAGTAGTGGGATTGATGGATCAAGTAGCAGTTCTTTTTTTAATTTTTTGAGGAACTTCCACACTGTTTTCTTTTCTCTTTCTTTCTTTCCTTCTTTCCTTCCTTCCTTCCTTCCTTCCTTCCTTCCTTCCT